GTTCGACTTGAAAAAAGCCGAGCAAGAAGAGGAAAGCAAATGACACAGCAAACAATAAAAATTGAGTGTGCGTATTGGTTGCTTAAAGGATCAAAGGATACCCACACATGTGCAAGCGTGACTGTGATTGTGTGCTTGTATTTGATGGCATTCGATTGGTATTTTCAATGTATGTAAGTGCCCTGGTCCTGGTCCTGGTCGTGGTCCTGGTCGTGGTCCTGGTCCTGGCTGTGCGCGTGAGCGCGTGTGGAGGGTAAAGTTATTGCATCATAATTTCCGCCACTAAGCATTTATATTGCACATAATTACGCGTCCAACGAGGCCATCTATAAAACGGCAAGTAATATAGGATTATCCCGTATGCACAATGCAAACGATGGTCTCCGTCGTACAATACGAGGACAGTCGCAGATCAGACTTCTTCAAGAGAACTTTAAAAGGAATCCCCTCATGGCAATTCTCTGAACCTAAGGATGCTACGGGTAGTATATATATAGTTATATTCATATGTATGTCCATCGATGCCTAGAAATAGTTATCTGCAAGTTGTATAAATTGTACATAAGAATTAATCAACCTATCGAATAATTCCGATTTCCATTTAAATCGGATGTTGTAGCTGTTGTTTGGCTACTGCTGTTTAAGCCGGGCATGCCTCTCCTCTCCGGAGAGCATAGCAGAGCAGACGCAATCTGAATGAGGAGTGTGATAAAAATCCCTGTCAATGTATACGCCTGGACGACTGTCCTGCGGGGAATGCCAGTACCCCGTTGTATGTGTGAGCTTATGGCCAAAACCATTATGGACAACTGCAATGGCGACAATACCGCGACGTTGATATTTTGCACCTGAGACCCATTGTTGGGAGTAGCTACCAATTCCATTCTGCCTTACAGGTGGTTGGCGTCGCGCCCGAAAGTATGCCATTAAAACAGTGAAAAAATCCAACCACCATACAGAAGTAGAACTGAAATGTTGCCAAAAAAAACCAAAAAAAAAACAGCGACCAAAAAGAAATTCGCTGACACAACGACATTTTCAATGTAACACAAATTTTGCGGTTTTGTGGTTATCCCGGCTTAAACAGCAGCAGCCAAACAACAGCCACAACAGTAATAGCGGTTGTAATCTTGTTAGGCGTGAATTACGTTTTTGGCAGGACATTTTTTTCCTGCCATATTTAACAAAAACCATTTTTATAGGTATAGCGAATCGATCGGAATGGAAAGGATTTTTCAATAATAGGGATCAAATAACCAAGACTCAGGTCCAGAATCGCACTTGACTTCGTTTGGTTCCCGCCCTCTCCCGTGCCGTCCTGTCCCGCCGCAAGCCCAATCCCATTTCCGTTTCCGTTTTGTACGATGTCAATTATTGTTGCATACTTTGTGGCGCTCGCGATGGTGCTGGCGAACAATGCAAAGTGGTTAATGATGGCGTGGGTGTGACCAGGGGTCGTGAGGGTGTCAGGGAATCGGGCCGTTCCCAACAAGAAAATCCCTCTATGCCAACACGCGCGCACCGTAATTAAGAGACACTCCACTCCACTCTGGCACTGAAGCAATGGAGCACTGGAGCACTGGGGGACGATGACGATGGCTCCAGGCCAATGGGAAAACAATGGCTAAACACACGCTTGCCCCACAGCCCCACCCTTCCGCTGCCTGAGGCTGACCCAATTAGTGGCGAAGAGCGACTCGACTCCATCTATTGTATCTTCGATGTATCTTTCTAGTCGTGTGCTGGGTTGTTCGGTTGCCAGGTTGACGCGTTGCCGGTCTCGGGGTTGCCACGTTAATTAAATTATCACGTGTCAATTAATGTTTCCCGGCCTGACGGAACGAAGTAAAAGAAACGCCCAAAGGGAAAACGCATTCACTTTGAGCGGGTGCGCACACGGTGCCTATCTATCTGCCGCCATCAACTGTCATCCTTTTTCATGGTGCGACTTTTACGGTTCCTCGCTGAAAACTTTCACCACAAAAAACTGAAAAAATAACCCAAACGTCACTCAAAAATCCGTTTGATGATTTTCCATCAAAGTTTTCAATGGTTCTTGTTGCAGGATATTTGGTTTGAGTTTTGTTCACGCCCTCCTTATCTGACTTTTGTCTCGTTTAATGTTTAAAGTTTTTCAATTAAACACGTAAAATTCTTCTCTGGCCGCGTTTCATTAAGCACTGCCCGCGGCTGTCGAATCAGAGGATAGCATTTGCTTTAATTGATGCTCAATTTGATTAGGAAAATGGCTCACGGCAAGAATTGAAGGTTTGCTGCGAAAGTCGATCTTGCAGATCGAGCAATCCGATGGCAGCTATCTAACAATATAGTTGGATTCTCTCATTCCCTCTGCAAAGCTTTGTATGTGGAGTAAAGTGTTATGCATTTTAGTGCTAATTTAATGGAATTAATTATAATTGTAATGGGTATGAGAAATAAGAATTACATATTTGTACTGGTATGGGGAAAAGTGATCGTTTGAGGAGCAAAAACGGAATACACTTAAACAAAATCCGACTATTTTACAGGTGTTGAACTCACAACTAACCCGATTCTAGAGCAAGCATCTAAATAACTTGAGGGAATGGGATATATTTGGTAGACTCAATTTACCAGAAAAACGCATTAAAATTAAGCCCGATTTGCCTTTGAAGAGCCCGATTTCGCGATGCTGCAGTTGGCTGTTCAGCCTGGGATTTAATTACAACTGCCAGAGCGGCTTCTGTCTGTGCCAGAGCCAGGGCCACAGCCACAGCCAGAGGCAGAGCCATCTCTAAGCGCATTAAGTATGCGCCGCGTGCGCCAATTAGGTTGAGTCAGCTGCCCGGACTGGCCGTAAGTATTTTCAGCACATTTCTTTTGCGCTTTTCCGCCATCGCTGAGCTCCCTTCAGCGTCATCATCTAACGCGCTTACAAACCAATTAACCTTTCGCCGTGTAATCGCTTCGGGATTCGTTATTAGCTGCGACTCTGGGTTATCTTTTTTGTCTCCGCTTATATTGCTGGGTCTTGGCTACAGAATGCCAAGTTAACATCGTCGTGGTTGGCGTAGGGATGTGGTCAAAAAAAATACGAATCAATAGCCTGGCAACACAGCCCGAAGCCTACCACGAAGGCAAAGCAAAGCTTCTTGTTCCAGCCAGGAGCTTTAGGTAGCTACGGGTGGACTCGAGACCGTGGCTGCCTCTATGTACAATGTCTGCAAAGTCAACTGGCATTAATGATTTGCTTTATCAACGGCTGTGCTATTTATTAATCTACAAAGTGTCTTTAAATGTTTAATACCTGATTCTTATTTTAATTCTAACCCTAGATAAGATCTTGTCACGCCATTAATTTCATCTTCCTCTTCGTAAAGTAATACTTTGTGGTCGAACCGCGAGAGGGACCCGGAGAGTAGGAGGGTTTTTAGTGGGTGAGGTCACCCCAAGTCTCACACTTATCGGCTTTTCCCCCAAATGCTTTTCCCCCTACACAAAAACAAGTCAAAATAACATTTTTATAAACTTCTAAGTATCGGGTTATTGTTGCTTTTTGGCCATCAACTGCTAAATCGCCATATTGGTAGAAATTAAAGCAACAAAAATTTTACATTTATATCAAAATAAAATATGGCTAAGCAAAACAATACGGATAAATAAAATGATAGAAAGGGAAAAGGAAAATTAAAAAAGATGATGGGTATGCAGAAAATGCATACTATCAAAATGGAACTAGGATTTGATTATACGGTAACGTCTCTACGGCTTTTGGCTCAAGCTATTTAATATGAGGGTGAAAGGATTTCTGCCAAATAAAATATTCAACTTGTAGTTTTGACGGTTTCTATTTATACCCGGTACTCGGTGAACCACAAGGTTCACAAGGTTTTGACTTTTCGTTTTATAGCGAGATCTAACAGAAGTGCGGATACCAAATTTGACTACTCTAGCCTCAATAGTCTCTGAGATTTGTGGATGCCCCAGATTTTCGTCCTTTGCGGGGGCGGAAGGCGAAATTTTGACACAAAACGGTCAAGATCCGATATCACAGGAGTGTGGATACCAAATTTGGCTGCTCTGGCTCTTATAGGTTCTGAGATCCTTGAACTCACATTTTGCAATTGGCAAAACCGACTATGAAACCTGTGTGTTAGAGAGAGACAGAGCGAGAAAGAATGAAATTGTTTTCTTGATTCTGGCTATAATAATTATGCAATCTGGTTCAGATTTTACACTCTAGAACATAAAGTCATCCATTTCTTGTATCTTCGAAATTGTGGATGTCACAGATTTTCGCCCTTTGGTGGTGGCGTAAGGGGGAGGGCAAAGTTTTGAAATATACTTGTGACAGTGACATATCACAAAAGTCCAGATATAAAATGTCGGTGCTCTAGCTCTTATAGTCTTTGAGCACTAGGCGCTAATAGGGGCGGACAGACAGACAGGGCTCAATCGACTCGGCTATTGATGCAAATTTACTGGTCAGAGAAATTGTAGATACCAAAAACTTAGGGAAATTCCATTTTTATGGAAACTTAAAGGGATTACATTTTTGCAATATAAATTTATTAGTATTTTGTGAACTATCAATGCAATCAGACGTGAAAAATTCTACAGTGTAAAAACAGAATTAGGACTATTTAGTCTTGATCGGCATCAATAGCCGATTAGCGCCTATATCTTAGATTACAGATAGAAATTGCCGAATCTGGATCAGATCAGATCAATTTTATAGCCAGGAGGAACAAATGAAATTGCAGTGGCTACGCTACCCCTTCCACGTGCTTACTCATTCTCTCTCTCACACACACTCTTCCTCGTGCAGAGCGCGCCACTTGCCGTGCAGCGCCATCTGTTGCTGTGCTATGCAAAACAGGCAACCGATATATGTACATATGTATGTATACTATTACCACTAACCATACAGTATATACTGTATATATATACAGTATATACTGTATGGTTAGTGCTATTACTCACTCACGTTGCCACTGTTTTTTTTGTTGAATTTTTTTGTTTAAGCCTTGTTTGATACACAGTACAATAAAATGGAGTACTTAAAAGTAATTAAACTTGTAGACAATTTATTCATTAATGGCATAAAATGATGTGGGCAGAGCTGAGTGTCTTAAATAGCCAGCATTATTCAACGGAATATCAGAATTGAGCAATAAGAACGACCACACACTTACGTTTTATTTGTTTGACCTTTTTGTTTTAACTAGCCGGACAACCAGACGTAGCAATCGATCCCGGAGCTCAATGCCAGGCCCTTCCGCTGCAAGGTATGCCCCGAGGATTTCCAATACAATCCTTGCTTAACCAGCAAGTTATGTGAGAGAAGTTGTTTCGAAATATACATATGTATACTTAGTTTACTCGTATTTTTCCACCCCACAGAAATCACCTGGGTGCGATTTTTCAGGATTTGCAACAATGAAGATCCCACTCTTCAGCGGAGAACTAAAGGTGCACAGGCGACCGCACAAGGATATATCCAAGGCACTTCCAAAGAGACTTGCAAAGACTCAGCTGATTAACGAGCGTGCTAAGTCGATCTACTTTAAGCTAAAGCAAAGCGAAAAATCAATGCAATAGAATATCAGCAGGAACGTTAGTTATACTTTATATGTACTTGCATAGCTTTATTTATACGTAATTCTACGAAAGTAGCAGAATTGGTATCGCATACTATCTCCCTCTCTCTCTCTCTCTCTCTTATCATATATTATCCGTTTTCATCTTTCCTGTTTTTTGTGCGATATATCTGTTTTCTCTCTTTCACTTCTCAAACACAGCTAATATGTGCTGCTGTCTCGCTCCGCTCCGATAGCGGTGCACACTGCACGAGAAAGAGTGAGAGAGAAGGAGTAAGCGCGTGGAAAGGGTAGCATAGCCAATGCACATAGCCTTCTGTCTTAGTGAACCGATCTAATCCACATTCGTCAATCTGCTAGATATGGTAACTTTCCTAATATTCATAAAGCTGCCTAGCTGATTGATTTAAATCAAAAAGTCCAATGTTTGTGTTGCTTGTGTTACAAATGTATTTTTTTGTCCGATGGTAAGAAATTTTTACAAATGAAATCTTTTTTTTACTTCTGTTCGAATCATTTTTGGTAATCTGGCTCATTATAATATAATTATATTTTAGATAGTTTAATTACTTGTTTGCCTGATGAAAGTTCCAGGTATTTATTTTTAAGAAAATGTTCAATACGAGCTTTAATTTTAAAAATGGGTCTGGAGTGATGCTTCGGCTCTAACGTCACTTCGTAAATCAGTCGATCTAGTTCTAATTGCTTCTCTCTTTCCATGATGCGCACTATTGCTGTATCTAGCGCCTGCATATGTATATTTCTTTCAGTTGTCGGGTTTTGACCCATTGGTGCGATAGATTTTAAACAGTTTATAAGGATCCGTTTTCTATTGTAATCCCTGCACACAGTTATAGAAGATGTCGGGGTCAAGGGTGCAGAATTTTCACTGGCGATCAATAGCTTGTGGTCGATCAGTGGACGCATCACCTAAAACAAGAAGAGCATGTCTGTTAAAATTTGGATTATGAGGTAATAATCAATAAGTACCTTTATCAGTGTCTCCGGGCTGGTTCCCACATTTTCGGCCAATTCCTGGACAGCGAACGTATTCTGGTGGTTGAACTGCAGAAGCAGAGCCATTTGCAAAGTATTTACCCGGAGGGTATAACATTTCTGGGAACTTGAGTTCATGGTCAGCTCGCCCCAGGACTTGAGAGGATGGAAGTTGAGCCCATATCTATTAAACTCTTTGGACCAAAATAATCGGAACTCGTTTTCGAACTGCTCCAGTTCCACGGGCAATCGAATGCCATTTATTGAACCTTCGAGCTGTCTGACTTTAATAAACTTGACACGAATATCAATTTGTACTTTTAAGCCTATTCCCACCAGGAACTCCTGGCACTTTGCTTGTATGCCATTCGATGCATTCGTTTCATTCCACTCGATATTTTGCTTTACTTGGAAATCACTCCCAAGACGCTTCGCTAGCATGGAGATTAGCAATGATTCGTTTTTATCCGATGCAGATGTATCGTCGATAAATCGCTTTTTCAGCAGTGCAAAGTAGTCATTCGTAAAGGATTTCCTATTCTCCTCGCTCAAATATAGAACGACATCAACAATTTTTTTCATTTCATTTCGAAGCGTGATTTCTTTGTTTTCGGAAGATGGCTTATTCAGCATTAGTATATGACAGTACCGGGAAAGTATAAGCGGTGTATTCCCTTCTTCTTTACCTTCGGTTATTTTGTTTATCTCCTCAACGCACACATGATCAACCTTAGCTATTAATTCTTTGCGATCTGCAAAAGCCCTTAGAAGGGGAACTTTTCTCAGGCCCCATATGGCTTGAACATAGTCCCTCTCATAATTAAACTTCCCGCATCTGTCGATCGAATTCTTTAACAGGCACTCAAGGTGTGCGGTCAGTGTGTTGCACAGATCCGGCTCAATAGCAGGCTTATATATAATGGCACATTTCACGAAAAGTTGTAGTTCTTCGCGCAAGTCCGATTCTAGCAAGCTTCGGAACAATGTTTTCGATTCAGACTCGAAAAACTGTATAACATTCGATTGGAAAACGTTGGTCATTTTTTTTAGCACGGAAATAGACTGATTGACGTCATTGCTGAATATGTCGACGATCGACTGTAACGCAGTATATATCTTGGAGCGTTTAATGGGCTGATCGTGGATTTCTCCCACCATAGTGTGATGAATGGCAGTGATTAGAAATCGATCAATCCGTTTGAATAAATTCGATTTCCACAGAATCATACCCAGACGGTAGATCGTATATACATCATCACGATCTTCAAAAATCTCTCTTTTTAGCCAGTTTTCGTTCAAATAGCTACATCCGATATCCAGGACAGTGACGGATGCCTGGTACGATTTCCAGCAACGGTTATACTCACTGAGCAACTCCTGTTCGTCGTTTATTAATTCTAGTTCCTCTACTATGCTTTCAAGCCGATCGGTTAGAAAACTCTGTAGGGTGGTGTAAACTTTTTCACCAGCTTTCTGGCTGCGTTTGGTCTCAATTAATACGGTGCAGCAGAGATCGCAAATTCTCCTGTGGAGAGCCATGAGATCCCGACGTGTCCATGTGGGGTCATTTCGAAAGATCCTCTCAAAATCCGGCAACAGCAGTTCGCTGAAATCTGTAAACGTGTTTTTACGAGACATTATTGTTGATTGTTTTCTTGGGAACCACCCGAATTTCAGCAAAGAAGCAATTAAGCACCACACCAGGTTTCGAATTGTTCAGCGCTTGCAATAATCTCGGCGGTGTAAAGACGAATTTTATTGTAACAAATTTTTTTATAAAATTTCTTCACGTAAGAAAACCATAAAATATTTATAATGCAATCGATAGCTGTGCTTTGCCATCGACACCATCCATCGAAGCTTTGCATATATGTACATATATCCACGAAAATGAAACTTACATTTTTTCGCAGTTCCAGTGAAAGCTATCCTGGATTTTTTGAAAGTAAAGAGGACAAATTTGTGTGCATATTTACGCATTCTTTCTAGCTAGTAATATTCGACGGAATATCAAAAACGAGGAATATGTAAAATAGAACTTGAATTCATCAGTATATTTACGGTATATTTTTAAAATGAGATGGTATGTTTCAGTATATTTCTGAGGGTTGGAGGGTATATTTAATCCATAAGTCCGCGGTCCCACTAGTATCGATGTCGATATTGATAAATCCGCGTTTGCCGGCAACCACACGTGCGTAGTTACGAAAGTTAATTTCTCAGTCGCTCCAGTTTGCATTTAAAAAAGAGAAATGGTATGTTGAGCTAGGGATCCAATCGGAAGGTTATATGCGTAGCAATCACTACAAAAAACCGTGCCCAAAACTTTGTTCGAGAAGTTTCCACATACCTTTTCTTGCTTCTACTTCGCCGGCCTGTTGTGTAACAGGGGGCAGAGCAGCCAATTAAAAGAAACATGAATTGAATTGAATTACTATTGTAGGCCGCTGCTATTAAGAAGATTATACCCATGCTGGATCGCATTCTAATTCAACGTGCCGAGGCTCTGACCAAAACGAAAGGCGGCATTGTCTTGCCCGAAAAGGCGGTGGGCAAAGTTCTCGAAGGTACTGTTGTCGCTGTGGGGCCTGGCGCGCGCAATGCTGTAAGTATTTCATAATTGTGCCACATTGCTGATCATTGCTGGCTGTGTGCATACACATATATTACGGTTGAAACTAATTCGTTTGTGTCCTTTCCAGTCAACTGGCAGTCACATTCCCATTGGCGTGAAGGAGGGAGACCGTGTCCTGTTGCCCGAATTCGGTGGCACCAAGGTTAACCTTGAGGGCGATGTTAAGGAACTGTTTCTGTTCCGCGAATCTGACATCCTGGCCAAACTGGAATAGACGCTTCCCGCGCACCAGTCTCAAAATTCTATGAATTCTATGTTTTTTATTAGTATGTAACCCTACCAACCACAATAAACGCTGATGCAATATTTTTGTTTGCATTTAGCCTTGACCGCTATTCAATAAAAGCCGAGTTACTCTTGTTAACATGTATAAAAGCTATATTTGAAATATTAATTATTATTTAAGCTAATCCAACTTCAGGTTGCGCAGCCCATAAACCTGATTGAAGGCGGAACGTTGCTTTATGTCGGGAAATCCTTCAACGGCGGCCCGTTCCCGCGAGATCTTCACCAAAGCCTCAAATGAGCGCGGCTCCCATATGGCCAAGTCAGCGAGCATTTTCCTGCAAAGGACAGAGAACATTGGATTGCAGATCTGCCATTAAGTAAGTAAGCTGCCACAGCTTACTTGTTCAACAGGATGTCGGTGCGCGTAAGACCCTCCTTAAATGTTTCCAGTCCTACGCCATACTGCTGGCATCCGGCCTCGACGCGAGTCGTCCACAACTGGGCCATGTCCAGTTTCTTCAACTTGCGGCCCTTAGTGGCGTACGCCAAGGCTCTGTGGACACTCCGAATAGCAAAAGAATAGACATTGCGAGTGCGACTACGATAATGCTGAAAGTACAAATGCATTTGATGTATGTAATTATTGTAAATAAGTTAATTCTATTTTTACGGTTCCACTCACCGCTGCCAATTTGAAAATACGTCTTTTGCGCCAAAACTCATCAGGACCACGAGCGCGCACCAATAGTGGTATATTCAGGAAGACCATGGCTTGATTTTTTTCAATAGTTCTACGTATTCTTGAGCACTTTTAATTAATAATGTTTTATATTTTACATAACCCGCCTGCGTGTTCACATATGTGTATCGATAAGATATATCGATGCGGACTATCGGCCCCTTGCAGATGACACCACTATCGGTATCTAGAATTGCCGGTTTATTTACATTCTGATTGTAAAGCATATGTTCTGAAAAACAAAATTTTCCATGATTTACAATACAGCAAGTGCACAAATAGTCTTCTAATTTAGTTATAATGTGTGCAAACAGCCAACGCAACCCCGCTGCAGGAACAACTAGCGACTGCTGGCCGTGCTATGAGGGTCGTCTAAGTTTGTATTGTTTTGTGATTACAGCGACCCTTGTTCTAATCCCATCAGTGCCACAGATCTACTATGGCATTGTGCCGAACGTGTGGGGTGCCGTCCTTTGGGGACCGGTCCTTTATTACGCACTGATCAACATGATCATTCGATTTGTGCTCAGAAATAGTGACTACCAGGTGAGTCAGCAGCCACATTTTCGGAGTATTGTATTCGTTCTTATCATTTTTGGGACTGCACTAGGTGGCAATACGGGCGTCGTTTCTGGGGTTTGTCGAGGCCGTGAGCGTATTAGTAATTTGCTTTGCTCCTACGTCTTGGCAACAGTTTGGCGTCTACGGATGCTTTATGGCATTCTTTCATTATTCAGAGTTCCTGGTCATAGCCTACGCTAATCCGCGCACGCTGACCCTAGACTCGTTTATGCTTAATCATTCGGTACACTATGGCCTGGCTGCTGCAGCCAGCTGGATTGAGTTTTCCCTGGAAGTGTACTTCCTGCCCGATTTTAAACGCTACGGCTACATTTGGGTGCTAGGCATGGCCCTGTGCACCTTTGGCGAGCTGATCCGGAAGTCGGCCATCATCACAGCCGGACGAAGCTTTACGCACTTGGTAAGCTTTTTTAAATGGATGCCTTTTTGTGATTCTACTTGGAAATACTTTTACAGGTGCAAAATGAGAAACACTCAGACCACAAGCTCATTACGCACGGCATTTACGCATACTGCCGGCATCCTTCCTATGTTGGCTGGTTCTGGTGGTCCATCGGTACACAGCTCATACTGATCAATCCCATTTGCATCTGCGTCTACACGTTTGTCAGCTGGCTCTTCTTCCACGATCGCATCTACGTCGAGGAGTACTCCCTGCTCAACTTCTTCCAGTCGGACTATGTGCGCTATCAGAAGCGAGTACCCACGGGCCTGCCCTTCATAAAAGGCTATCTGATTGAGTAGCGCCGTTGTAGAGTAGAGGTCAGCCACACAAATTCACAAAAAATCACGAAACTACACAAAGTTATATTTTAGATTAAAGTAAAGTATCATCTTTTGTACAGCCGAAAAAACCAGCACATTTTCGATAATAAGTTTACTGATATTTTAACTAATCCTAAATGCTGTTTCTATTTAATCACTCTCATATATATGTATATCAAGCCCAATCGGATGATAATGATGGTTCAATCGATCGCAATCACATGACCGCGTTGTCGGATGTCTTATCAAAGGGATGTCTTATGACCAATACGATTTCCCAGAACGGCTTTACATTCCCTTCAAGAAGTCAAACAATGAGTTGAAGTTCTTCAAAATGTGGACATGTAGATAATTCTCTTGTTTTTTGCTTGTGTCACTTTTGTTTTATTATCAATTTAAATTCGAATATTGCTCTATCTATATGAAACACAAGCCGATCCGATCCTCTTTCACGTTCTTCCGCAGGTCTATGCTGATAAGTTAGTGTCTCTCGCTCTGTGCATAGGCATGTGCATGTGTGTGTGTGTGTGTGAGTGTAGGTTAAATGTATGTACAAACAATTATCAGTGTCAACAAAAATGTCTTAGTCACTCTCTTTTATAGATTATTCACTTAATTAACAATTGCAAATCTTGCTGCGCTTTGCGTACTTCCTCTACCAGGGACCTGTGTGTGTGTGAGTGTGTTAGTTAGTGTCTTTCTTTGTCACTTCGACTCCTCCTTGTTCTCCTCCTGGTACTCCTCCTCATCCCCTTTATTCGACAAACTGCGGCTCACCCGTATACGTACAGCCAGGATTCTTGATAATATGTCCAGCAGCATAGTTGCCACATCGTATGCACACGTCGAGGGACTTGCCCTGCACAAACTGCGACAGAAAACCGCCAACGAATGCATCCCCAGCGCCATTGGTATCAACAATCTCATGCACCGCCAATCGTGTGACCGGAAACTCTTCAACCGAGTCCCGCTGGATGAGCAGCACGGGATCACAGCCCTGCGTTAGTATGGCAATGCGAGGTCGCGCCGGATTCAGTTTGTCCAGCGCCACCAGACGCTTGCCAATCTCGCGCAGATCTTCGGTCGGCCAGCCCTGGGCCGTAGCAAAGGCATGCGCCTCCGCCTCATTACCAAAGATGATGTCCACATAGGGCATGACGGCCAGTAGCGGTGCCATGTAGAATTGTGATATGAATGGTGCGCTGAGGTTCATTAGGAACGGTCGCTGCTTGGCAAGGGCAGTGGCGGCCACTTGCATTATGCTGGGCGGGTTCACAGTGAGAAAGAAGCCCTGTCGGGAAATACAATCAAAGGTTTATGTTATTTATTGATCTGATATATTTGGTCCAATTGAGTGCGACGGAATTGACTTCCTGTCTTATCAAGTCATAAAGCTTTTTATTTTATCACTATTGCATCGATTTTATGATCATATACAATATGGTACTCACCGAAATATAGTAGTACAAAGCATTATCCACCAGCGCTTTGTTGAGGGGCTGATCCAAATGGTCGATGGTGAAGTTGTTGGCCGCCGCCAAGTTGGCGCAGAGCGATCGATGTGTGCCGGTGATGAGAACGGCGCAGGTGCCCGTGGGTACGTCCTTCTTGATCTGATAGTGGACGTCCAGTCCCGCGGACCGGGCCTTCTCCATTAGTATATCAGCATACTCGTCCTCACCAACGCAGCCAAAGAAGACGGCCACCTTCGGCTGTCCCAAGATCCATTGGGCGATGCGCAGTGAATTCTGCACAGATCCGCCGGCCAGGAATTCCGCCTGGAAGCCATCGACCAGCTCCCGATAGATGGGCATGTGTCGCTCCTCGGCCAGGATGGCATCGTCCTCCTTCATCTCATACTTCTGCAAAAAGTCCATCGGCACAATGGCGGAAATGTCCAGCAGTGGATTGCCGCATCCAACCAGGATGCCTTCTCTGTATTGGATAGAATCAAAAAGATTAGTTTCACTCCGGAATCAGCTCGACACATCCCTCCCCGCCACACCACACCGCCCACCTATCGTTACTGCTCCGATCGCACATGCTTCCTACTTGAGGGCCTGTCGCTAATGCGCCCAATTAGCAATTAGCAATTCAATTCAACTTCAACGACGACGCTGCTTAGCACCACAATCGCTTGGCGATCACGATGAACCTTTCCGATAGCCCCCAGCAGAAGAAAGAAGAGTGGTGGTCCATATTTTAGGTGCGCTTCATAAAGTATCATGAGCATCACTACGGCTTATACGCTGGATTCATCAATTATGTAACTATTACAATTACGCATACGCATTTGTATATTTCTAAGCTTCTCATCTATTTGGACGCCAGTGTGTTGTGCTAGAAATTCAAGTAGCGCTCAGTGAAGTGATTTGAGTATTTGAGCTCTATCTAAATACAGAATCATGCCACTCAAAAGCTTCTTAACCAATGGAAATTACTTTTAAACACACATTCTATTAGGCAGTACACATTTATGTGGACGCTAGTGTGGGCGCCTTGTTTACGCGCCTTCGATTGTTGTTGGCAAGAATTTGCTCCTCTTATCAGCCGCATATTTTGGAATCAACAGGCAACAACGCCCAACACCCTACGTACATACATACATACATATATATTTGGTTTATTAATTCATTCATATGCCGCCGGTACTCTGCAACGACCCTCATGTCAAGCGGGTCAACAGCAATCGAACCTAGAGATAACGACACCGAACACGCTCGCACACAGACAGAACCAGCAGCACACGATTTTCACATGCCGCTGTAAATTTTCGGCAATTAGATATACATTTGTACACATGCCTGTATATACGACGCACAAGAACGAGAGCACATGGTGCCTTTTTATAATAAAAAACTTGTAGTCTACTACAACTACAACTAAAACTTACTGCAGCGTGCTCGTCATTTTTGTTGTTGTTGGATTAGCTGCCTTCTTATGTAAACATTAACAAGTTATTGCACTTTTAGTTGAAAGCGTCAGCCTCGTGTCCGATTGTAAAGCTATCCACCAATCTATATATTTAGAAATACTTGATCAGAGATATACAGACAATTTATTTTAGTAATCTACGGAAGCGCGAGCTGCGAGCTCTTGAATTTAGGATTGTTTATGTTGTATCGATATGGTCGATATTTGTACCGCAAAATATTGGTATCGATGTATTCATTAATTGGATAAAATTATGTGGCTATTATATGGCTAAATGTTCTATCTAGCTAGTAATATTTGACGGCATATCAAAATTGAGCAATAGGAACGAATATCCACTTGCTTTCTTTTGTTTGACCATTTTCACTAAAACCTCTTTTCACGCAAAACGCAATAAAAGCAAGTATTAAGAATACACCAGTTAAATAGAAAATTGATTCATCAATCGTATAAAATTAAGTAGGCATGGCTAAATGTTCTATATAGCTAGTAATATTCGACGGAATATCAAAAGCGAGGAATATTTAAAATGTAACTTGAATTCATCAGTATATTTACGGTATATTTTTAAAATGAGATGGTATGTTTCAGTATATTTCTGAGGGTTGGAGGGTATATTTGATCGATAAATCCGCGGTCACACTCTTTCTTTCCGGTTGTTCTAAAGGTGCGGATGTGTATAAAATTCGTGCCGTCTTAATTTGCCGAAATACTTGGCATCCTAACATATTATCTTTTTTTTATTGTTCATTACAGTGAAGTGAATCCTCAATCGCTAAAATATGGCCGACGTTGATGTGTAAGTCGACATTTAGTGGGTCGGAAATGGAAATTTATGCCTTTGCCCGATATTTGGGTTTCTGATGAAATTAATTGGTCCGTGTTTATGAATTTACATTGATTATAAATTCTCCAATTGCTGACAAATCAAGGCTAAATGAAGTTTTCCGCGCTGTTTCTGTAATAAAGTAATTTATGCTTAAATTCACGCGTTATTGCAGTGATGTGCCCTCCGCAGCCCCCGTCCTCGATGGCGCCATGGACATTAACACTGCCCTGCAGGAAGTGCTGAAGAAGTCTCTGATTGCTGATGGTCTCGTGCATGGCATCCACCAGGCCTGCAAGGCCCTGGACAAGTAAGTAGACCAAGTCTCGAGCTGGCTGTCCCGCGAATGCCTCTGATGAAATTAATTGGTCCGTGTTTATGAATTATCCATTGATTAAAAACCTTCCAATTGCTGAGCACATGTCCGGCAACCGGCCAACCGGTTTTCGCCACTGCGCGAGCCCACCAATCGTTTTTCTAACCTATTTTCACCTCCATTTCTTTGGACAGACGTCAGGCCGTTCTGTGCATTTTGGCCGAGTCCTTCGATGAGCCCAACTACAAAAAACTGGTCACTGCCCTGTGCAACGAGCATCAGATCCCCCTGATCCGCGTGGACTCGCACAAGAAGCTCGGCGAATGGTCCGGCCTGTGCAAGATCGACAAGGAGGGCAAGCCCCGCAAGGTGTGCGGCTGCTCAGTGGTGGTCATCAAAGACTTTGGTGAGGAAACACCCGCTTTAGATGTGGTTAAGGACCATCTCAGGCAGAACAGCTAGATCACATGCTGTCCCCTGTCTGTTGAATGAGAGACTACGTGAGAGTTTTTTATGCTAATAAAAATAAAAACGTAAAAAATCCATTAAATAAAAGAAATTTACCCTTTTACATTTTTGGAATGTTCTATATTAACGAAACTATATTAACTGAAAAAAGACGAAATATCAAATTAAGAACTGTCCAGGCAGGCAGTCTTGTGCTTTGCCCAGTCCTTGAGTTGGCACTCACTGCAAAGAAGCGGAAGAAGATTATAATGTGAGTAGGGCTGATTTCTGATGGAGAATCTCAGGGCTTACCGCGAGCAATAGTGGACCTTCTTGCAGTTGGCGCACATCTTTTTGGCCAAAACCAGGCAAGTGGCGCACTTTTTTATCTGCTCTCCTGATGCCGTGTCGCCTCCAGCCCCAGAATCCGGTTGGGACACCGGATTTCCCTCCTGCACGTTCAGATCGGCCATATTCTGCTCTAGTTCGCACAAGAGCTCTGTGCCGTAGGCAGCACTCAAGCGGCTGGCCAGGTCACAGATCTGCTTCTTGTCCCGGCTGAGAAACAAGGAATCCTGGGCCTGGGCTATCTGATAGAAGCCACCTTCGCGATCAACCTCCTTGGTCAGGTCGTTTTGTATTTGGGGCAGATCTTCCAACAGAAGAGGCTGCAATTTGGCCGTTGTATTGCCGCTGAGGGTCAAGCGGCTAAGGAATTGCTTCAGCCCAATGAGCACGGGCAACTGGTCCAAGAGGGTTTCGTGCATTAGACCCAAGAGCTGCGGAATATAGGACAGTCATTCAAAGCAGACATGGAGTGGGACACTCATCAGTCTTCACCTTCGACAGCTGCTTGCAACGCGCCTCGTTCAGCTCGTAGTTCTCCATGACCTGGGGATTGAGAAGCAACTGATGCACACAGAACCAGGCCTGGGCCTCGGGCTTGACTATCTTGGCGGCATCCTCCACATTGGTCCACTTCTCGTCGATAAACTTCTGTAGCCCCTTGCTGGTCTTACGCTGCCAGGGACGGAAGCAGAGCACATCAACCATTAGCCAGGGGATGTCGTGGGTAAACAACATGCGACGAGCGGCGCTCAGGTGAAACAGCGACACGTTGTCGGCCAAGTAGTTAAGAATGGAGATGGAGCGTAGGCCGATCTTGTATACGAAATTGCGCTTCTGGCGCTCCAGCTCGGTGAGCACAGCTTCGTCAACGTCCACCTTTGACTCGTTCTCGTGGTAGCCCATGCTGACGAGCCCAATCACCTGGGCCACCGAGTGGCCACAGTAGTCGATGAGATCCAGCACCGATTCCTGCAGCGTCTCACAGCCACTGGGGTGGTAGAGGCACATGTCCAACAGAGCCACCAGCGCCGCCTCATGGTACATCACCGTGTAGATGAGAAATGTAGCCTGGGGATTCGGGTCGATCTCCAGCAGATGCGGTAGCACCCGAGTCTTCCACAGATTCACGCAGAAGGCCTCGTGTATCAGCAAGCGCAGCTTGTCCCGTGAAATCAGGAACTCTTTGACCTCCTCTTCACGGTTCTGGGACGCCTCGTAGGCCGCCTGCTGGCTCAGCTTGATGACCATCTCGTGGACCTCGAGCCATTTGCTGCTGCCAACGTCGCGCACCTCGAACGCGCGAATACTCTCAACGAAAAAGTAAAGCTCCTCGGGATAAACAAAGTTTACCATTTTGTTTCCTTGCGATTAAAAAATATTTTTCTCTCTAAATTTTTGTTGTTTCAACTGTGCCCAGGTCTGGCTGACTGATTTTTGGAGTACGAGTCAGGTAGGTAAGCAAGTATTTGAGGTTGCCATAGCAGGCAGCGGTTGCTATGATTTCGTTTTCTAACAGGAAGTTCAGCTAGGGATGTTAAAACACGGAGGTCTTGGCAGGCCTTGAAGCGAATCAAATGCTCCTTGCCATCGTTGCCATTTCAGTACAGTACAATCAGTCGGGTTATTAACAAACAAAAATCTCAAAACTTGTACAACATTCCATTCTTTATCCGACAAATACTTTTGGTAATGTAATGCAACTACAGGTATATGTATATGTAAATACATATCATCTATTAAGAACTAAGGAACGTGATTTTTTAACTAATATGTAAAATTAATCTAAGAATACTTTAAGTAAACCGACTTAAATAAAACAAGGAGACTTTCAAGCATAGATCACACAAGTTTCTACTTTCAGGTAAGCTGAGCATTCCACTCCACTGGGCTTAGCGATACAGTCGCACTTGTTCATCGAGATCCTGATCGCTTATGCGATCCTTGAGATTCAGTTCGGCCTCTTGCTTACGCAGCATTTCAAAAATGGCCGCCAGCTGCTCCCTCTCAATGCGACGCTCCTCCATGATCTGGTCGGCTGTGAGGGTCTTCTCGAGATTGTGCTGGATGTGTTTGGTTTTGAACTTTCCCATGAGATGACTGTAGTCCTGGCCGGGCTGATGATCCTCAATGAGCTCCATGTCGCTCTCACTTGTACGCTCCTCGAAGGCCTCGTCGTCATCCAGATCCAGTTCATCATCCTCGTCCTCACGACGCGCCCTCAACTCGGAATCATCTTCGTCATGCATTTCATCGGGGCCCAGTCCCTCGTCCTCCAGTTCCTTCATGACGTACAAATGTGTTTGTATATGTGAGCATATTGAAGAATACCCTATTGCGCTGCATGATTTGAGTGCACTCACGTTTTTATCCTTGAAGAAGTTGGCAAAATAAAAGGCCACCAAAACGCATAGCAGGAGAGTGGTCAGGGCGACCGAATAGTGACCGGGTAGGCCCAGGAAGAGGCCGTCCAGCGATGACAATATTTCGTTCATTTTCCCCCCAATTTATTGTTTATTTTTATTTATTTTTTTTTTTTTTTGAGGGCTTAAGTTACCATGCTACCCTTGAGTAGCGTGGGATTACTTGACCGCCCGCTTTTTTTAAGGTGTTGGAGTACCGGTTATAGTTTTACATCAATTTCGTCGATCAAGTCAATTAGTGTTTGGTTCGCACTGAAGTTCTCTTTTTCAAAGAATTTGTAAATATCATATTATACTTTCTTAGAGATGGGAAAGTTTTGCCTTGTCTTGTACTTGGTACAATGGCGTTATCGATACTATCGCATGCATCACCTATGTTACTAGGAACTACATGCATTTTGGCGAGTGTGTGCCTATCAAATGCGTTACCGTCTGTTGATTCTTTAATCTTTAAGTTTAGTTTTATTTGGGAAGCACGGTTTGGACGATGTTGAGCGCAAAAGCGAGAGAAAACCTCCATCGAATGACTCTCCCGCGCTATGTAATTGAACGCATTGTTCAGTTGCTCCTCACTCAACTGGAATAAACAACTTCAACGAATGCCGGTTAAAAAGATGCCAAAATTTCGCATTTTCGATGTTGAGTACTATGAGGACCAGAAGGACCAGGAACAAGAAAATAAATATGAACCACATCCGATCGAAGACCCCGAGATATTCGAGTCTGAAGGAGAACACGAAGAACGTTTCTTATTCCACTGGACGGCCAGCAGGCGGGAACTATTGGCAAGATTCCCAACCTCTGAGGCGACGGTATGGTGATGCTTTAGCAAGTCCACAAGCAGGAGCGGGGACTGCTCAGAAAGCTGAACGCCAGTGGGTCGTAGATGATCTGTGATATACAAAAATACAGTCATATACGTCGAGAAATCAGTTGATTATTGTTTCACCTTTGTTATGATCCGCCTCTTTGCCACCCTGGCCTATCGTTCCCAGCTAGCTCACGGGGAAGTCAGGGGTGTTTCCGACCCGATAAGTCAGGGGACGGATTGAACAAAACAAAAAACAAAAAAAACATACAAAAAAAACAAATCTAGTTTATAGGACAGACTTGTCTTCGTTGGCACTTTCGTCAGCGGGGATAGTTGGTTTCGTTATCCCTAGCATGGTCCCACCCTTCCATGAGCGCCACCTTCCATGAGCGCTCCCTTTTCATATTCAGGGTCCCACTCTTCTTCTCGCTCTCGTCCCACCCAACTACCGTTTTCTATTCACTCATGACTCTGTTCAAATTTTCATTTTTATATCCATTATATTTTCTTACTTTATCTTCTTGAACATTAATTCATAATCTAGGTTTATATAAAGGAAACAAATACTAACACTAAAAAAATACTAACAAAAAAAAATAAACCCTATTTCGGCCGAATTAGCAGCCCCCTTTGATAGAAGTTGTTGCTTCCTGATGCTTGCTGATGTTTACGTTTAATCGTGGTGTTCTTTTTATATGATCGTGATATATTGTTTAATTGTGGGTCGGACGGGTGTAGATGTGTGAAATGTGGTGATGTTATGTGATGTGTTATGAATGAGGGTATACATGCGTGGGTTGGGTGTGATGTGTGTGGATGAAGGTGTGTGACATTGATTCGTGTGGGTTTATTTCTGCTTTGAAGTCTGGATTCTTTCCCCGGGGGGGTTGGTGTGTGGGGACAGAAACGTGTCTCCAGTCGGTGCTCCGCTGACGGTTCCTTGGTGCCGGTGCTCCGCTGACGGTTCCTTGGTGTCGGTGCTCCGCTGCCGGTTCTCGCACCAGTTTTCCGGCCTGGCCAGTACCGGGCTGCTGCTGCCGCGGTCCGCCGCTTCTGCTGATGTTGATGCCTGCCGCTGATGTCTTGGTGGGATCGTCGTCTCCACGATCACCAATTTTGTTTCCTTTTTTTTTCTTTCAGGGCACGTGCGGCCTCCACTATTCTCCACCGGAAACTCTCCTCTTTTTTTTTTTTTCTTCCTCCTCGCACCGTTTCCTTTCCTCCCACGCAACTCTGCCACTGCTTCCCAGGATCCACTATAGATGCCGCTGTCTCTTTCTTCTCCAGCCCTGATACTTATCGGCTCTCTCCAAAACCGCCCATAACACCACACTACCGTTTCCAGGATTACTCCGCCGAAACGGGAGTGCCAAGCAGGCGGGCTTTTTCAATTAAGGGGCCCCAAACGTAGGCCATCGCCCACACCCTGAGATTGAGAGTCTCTGGCTCCATCGACTGAGATGCCCGGGCTACTGCTTCAGGTCTTTCGCGTGAAACACCCCAATACGTGAGCCTTGCAACGTCTCCAGCTCGTACTGACGCGGCCTTTCCTCTATCGGCTTGCGCTCGGACCATCTAGCTTCGGGTAATACAGCTTGGTTAACCTTATATATGGTAGTGTAAATATTCTTATTGGTACTTTTTTCCTTAGGGGTATCTGATTTAACGTTGGAGGACGTATCTATTGGCTGCTTCTCGGCGACGTGGAACTCGACTCCTCCAATTGCGTCGTGCTCCTTTTCGCGTTTCCCGGTCGACATTTAGGGCATTTAGGGAGGATGACCCCGGCCAGCCCGCACTTGTAGCAGAACAGGTTACGCACGGCCGACTCGCACTCGAAATAGGTGTGACCCGGCTGAGCGCAATTCCAGCACCTCAGCTGGGCGCGATCGCCTCCGGGTTCCCTCGTCCTATGGACCGCATCCAATGCCTCGGTCTGTTCCTCCGGATCGTGAGTGTTCGCATCCAATTCATGCACTTTGTGATCTTCCCTGCGCCTACTATCCCCAAGGTCTGGACCGCTCCTTGTCCATCGCGTCGCCAGCAGTTTCTCGGCGCTCACACACTCTTCTCGCAGCTTCTGTAGGTTTGGTATCTGCATTGGATAAATCACCCTCGAAATGGCATCCCTGACATTGATCTTTATGATCTTTATTAGATCATAATCCGAGAACGTATTCAGCAACCTCGACCTCAACACCAACATCTCCTGGATGTACTGGTCTGCCGACTCCCCGTGGCGTTGTCGGCGTTCCCTGAGCTCTTGCTCTCGCTCGAACTCTGTCCGACGAACTTGAAATTGCTGCTGGAGACCATATCTCAAGTTCGGCCAGTCCGGCATTCCTACCGTCCGAACATGCATCCAGTACCAATCCCTTGCGTGTCCACTGACCAATGTGTGAAAGGCTTTCAACACCTCCGCCCAGGGTACCTGATACGACATCTGTAGGTGCTCCACCCGGAATATGAATTCCGCCACGGGCATCCCCTTCGGATCGCCGTCGAAGCTAAGTCCCCATCTTCGTATTTGCACTTGCTCCTGCCTAGCCTCTCCGGAACTCGGTCGATTCTGGTTAGGGTTTGCTCCTGCACCCATCCCGTTGAACAGCCACTCCTCCACGGGTCTCTGATCGGCTTGGGTCCTCTGATCTGCCTCCAATGTTCGGTTGTCCACGAACAAGTGCGTTGGATGTGCTCGCTGGTTCGCGGGTGCTTCCTGTTGACCTCCTCCCAGACTGGTTGCATTCGATCCCCGATTCCTTCCATTCGCATCACTCGCCGTTCGCTCCGCTTTTAACGAACCCACCACAGCGTTGATCTCTCGCATGAACTCTAGCATGTCCGCTTGCATTGACGATCTCAGCGCTTCCATTTGCTGCCCGAGGGACGCTCGGTAGGTCTTCTGTGCTTGGGCCAACGCTGCGTTCACGGCTGAGCTTAACTCTGACGGTAACACCAGGTCCTTACGGGTTCGCTGTTGACCTCCTACCGCTCCGGCCTCTGGGTCCTCCTGGTACAACCCCGCATGTACGTTTTCCGCCACTTGCGACGGCCCTTCCGGCCTACTGCCGGCTTTACCGTCCTGGGACCGAGTCGTCGGCATGTTGTACGGCTGGTACCTGCGCTGTGCCTGTGGGCTACGCCTTGTCTTTCCCGACCCTTTAAAAATCTCCGGGTCACTCATCAACCAATTTTCGTAACGTACTCCTTTCCTTTGTCTATTCTCTATTTACTTAACTATCTTGGTGATAAATAAATTGGATTGTTTATTATCCGACTACCCTACTCCTCTAAACACCTAGTTCCTGGCTAAATAATCTTTAATACTTTCAATCGTAACGAGAAAACAAATAAATAAATAGTGCAATAAATAAATAAGCGAATAATTAATTCAATGTTTAGATAACCAAATAAATAAATTCAAATACATAAATCGGTTAATTTAAATCAATAAATTGATAAATCTAAATATCTAAATTGATTCAATCAAATAAATAAACACCTACATCTACCATTAATCGCCTAATTAAATACAACACTAAATAACTAAATACTTCCTCTCCCAAACAAAAACTCTTTTTCCGATGACTTGCCTAATGCCTACTTCTAAAATTGCTTCCAAACAATGCTAGCGAGGATTGTTAGTCCTCAAAAAAAAAATGATTTCCCTTTGGGTTTTCTTGCTTCGGCTTTCCAATAGTCTGCTAAATCACTAACAAAAAAAAACATATAATTCCCAAACTGCTTCAGACAAAAATGGTGGGACGAGAGACAACTGCATTTATTGTTTTGCAGGTGAGCGGACCCCCTTCTTTTCCCCTTGCTATATACCTTCGCTTCCTTTTTCTAAGTGCCAACTCCCTTTGCTGTTTCCTCACTCAGATCACCGTGGATCCCCCAGAATCGGACAACGACGTTAATGCCTCTGGACATAACCCGGACCACGACTCGACAGATCCCCCGGCACCTCTTCCTCTTTTCAGATCCGGACAGCGAGCTCCACGAGTCGGACAGCGAGGCTACTACCACCTGGTAATACCTGGACCACAACTCGGGACCCACACTTCCTTTTCTTCTACCTCCGATACATAACTACCATGTCTATTTTCCTCACTGCTACTCCTCTCAGCGGCTACGACGGCTAGGATTTATTTCCGGCTCGCGGACCGGCTGAGTTTCGTTCTACCAGGGTTCCATTTTACACCGGGTCTTTAAGACTCGTGTTTAAAATCGATCCCTTCTATTTTCTTTGGGCGCCATTTGTTATGATCCGCCTCTTTGCCACCCTGGCCTATCGTTCCCAGCTAGCTCACGGGGAAGTCAGGGGTGTTTCCGACCCGATAAGTCAGGGGACGGATTGAACAAAACAAAAAACAAAAAAAACATACAAAAAAAACAAATCTAGTTTATAGGACAGACTTGTCTTCGTTGGCACTTTCGTCAGCGGGGATAGTTGGTTTCGTTATCCCTAGCATGGTCCCACCCTTCCATGAGCGCCACCTTCCATGAGCGCTCCCTTTTCATATTCAGGGTCCCACTCTTCTTCTCGCTCTCGTCCCACCCAACTACCGTTTTCTATTCACTCATGACTCTGTTCAAATTTTCATTTTTATATCCATTATATTTTCTTACTTTATCTTCTTGAACATTAATTCATAATCTAGGTTTATATAAAGGAAACAAATACTAACACTAAAAAAATACTAACAAAAAAAAATAAACCCTATTTCGGCCGAATTAGCAGCCCCCTTTGATAGAAGTTGTTGCTTCCTGATGCTTGCTGATGTTTACGTTTAATCGTGGTGTTCTTTTTATATGATCGTGATATATTGTTTAATTGTGGGTCGGACGGGTGTAGATGTGTGAAATGTGGTGATGTTATGTGATGTGTTATGAATGAGGGTATACATGCGTGGGTTGGGTGTGATGTGTGTGGATGAAGGTGTGTGACATTGATTCGTGTGGGTTTATTTCTGCTTTGAAGTCTGGATTCTTTCCCCGGGGGGGTTGGTGTGTGGGGACAGAAACGTGTCTCCAGTCGGTGCTCCGCTGACGGTTCCTTGGTGCCGGTGCTCCGCTGACGGTTCCTTGGTGTCGGTGCTCCGCTGCCGGTTCTCGCACCAGTTTTCCGGCCTGGCCAGTACCGGGCTGCTGCTGCCGCGGTCCGCCGCTTCTGCTGATGTTGATGCCTGCCGCTGATGTCTTGGTGGGATCGTCGTCTCCACGATCACCAATTTTGTTTCCTTTTTTTTTCTTTCAGGGCACGTGCGGCCTCCACTATTCTCCACCGGAAACTCTCCTCTTTTTTTTTTTTTCTTCCTCCTCGCACCGTTTCCTTTCCTCCCACGCAACTCTGCCACTGCTTCCCAGGATCCACTATAGATGCCGCTGTCTCTTTCTTCTCCAGCCCTGATACTTATCGGCTCTCTCCAAAACCGCCCATAACACCTTTCGAGTGGAAATAATGTTCGCCTTGTGCTGATAGAATTGATCGGGAGTGGCGCCAGCTTTGTTCCGATGGCGATTCAGACCCGAAAACAGATTGGCCCATTGCGGCTTCACGTTCTCTTGAGGCTCGGAATTACCGGTCTGCTCCTTACTTACTCGCGGAGTCTCTAGAATATCGCCATTTTCTATCAAACGATCGTTGCCTTCACTATTAGATGCTCCTGTTTTAGACGCCCCTTCAAGCTCCCGCTTACGGTGCTCTAAAGCAAGCACCTTCTTTACAAGCTCGTCAAATTTCGACATCGTCTTCTCATATTCCGCACTACTGACCTCCAATATGACATCTGCATCATTGGCATACTCTGAAAGGTTATACAAATGGGTTGCATCGCACTAAGAGGTGAATAATGTTTGTAATTAATTACTTACCGCTACTAAAATCAAATTTCATATCCTCCGACTCCAATTCATCGAACGAGGGCACCGGCTGATTTTCTAGTTAATCGTAATTTTCAACTGCGTTGAAGCATGGTAACAACGATTGATACCATGATTTTCATCTTCATCGGAGAAGCCGCCTATGTCCCAATTATATACGGGAGTTTTTAAGTTTTGTTGTTGGGGCGGCCGTTGGGGTTTCTGCGTTTGTTGCACTTTGCACCATAGATCACCACAAAACACGAAAGCAATCCTATCCGCACGTACCTAAAAAATTTTTATTCAACTCTTTATTCTCTTTTTACTTAATAAGTATGGCTGTTACTGATTTAACAAACAATTGACCGCCAACTTGTTAGTTTTTTATGTTTACATTTGCTCAATTTATTACATGGCAACTACATGCCAACTACACATTTGCTACATAATGGGAGGAAAAGCGGGTAAGGATAATGGGCAAAACGGCCCAGAAAATGCAACGCATGCAAGGTAAAATCCACCCTTTTTCCTAACATATCCTGAAGTCATACAGCCGATTTTATTTCCACACCCGAGGTGAGGTTCGTACGAGCCCTGCAATTTTCCTTGGCTGACAAATTAGAGAATTTGTTAATACTTCCAACGCAGAACTAGATAGGCGTCAGATTGACCAAGGGATGACAGAGGGTTTCCGATACATTCAACAATGAAGATTCCTCACCTAAACATTCAAAGTCATTACAACAAAAAACAGCTCCTCTCAATGTTCCTAGAAAACAACGCAATAGATATTGCCATTCTCTTAGAGATTTTGGTGCTTAACAATGCGGACTGCACCATTTTGGATTATAACTTTTTCTGCAAGCCCAGAGAGAACGGCTACGTCGGGGTAGGCATCTACATTAGGAAAAACATTCAATTCAGCAATTAAAAAATAGAAATCGATTTGGAAATTTAAGGAATTAAGACATTAAACCTCAAGAGCAATAGTAATATTTTTAGCATATGTATATGCAGCGCCTTCAACAACAGTTTCAAAATTCAAATCGGGCACAAAAAGGTTTTTGAGTTTGCAGCTTCGCTTGCCTCAATAGTGGGCATGGCGTGACGCCCACGTCGTCTATCTGGGGAAATGCGGCCTATGATCGCAACGGTCGCGCGATTTATCTGCCAGGAGCCCAACTTAATTGCCTGTTCTTGACCTTTCTTTCTCGAACTACAGAAATGGAAGTATTGACAGGCAAGTCCTTAAAATAAAAACAGAAACCTTAAAAAACACGGTCACAAGTACGGCAGAACAAGTACCCTACAAAAATGTAAGGAACAAATGGACGGACGTGGATGACAAAAACTTCCTCAATATGGTTAAAGTAACCCCATCCATGTCAATTAGTAGGTCTCCAGAGAAAATTCATCACCCCCTGTTTGAACCAGAAGACCCGGAACCCCGGGAACTGGAAGAACTCAGACTCAAGAAGAAAGCAGACTCTACCTCCTTCTAAAACCAAAGGGCCATTTTTTTTTAAATCCATGGAGGGGTTGATAAAGTTGAAGTTGGACCGAGCACATAGCAAACTGTGACCTGCTAGGTCCTATGCCTTCAGGAGAAACAGGTGCACGGCGCTGAGCATCAACGACCTTATCAATAAGCCAGTGTAGCTGTCTCAGCCCAAACCTTTTCCAACTTTACATCCGAACTACATGATTTTGTTGACCGTAGGCGACGAGCGAAAAATGCCAAAAGATATAGCACCCCAAAAATACCACAAAAATGGATGAATTGGTGAAAATTTATTTTTGCGGTATTTGATGTATGAATAAAAATCTAACAAATTCGAAATAAGCGATTTCATTTTGTATATTCTATTTATTGGCTGGTATTCATAGCGGAGGTGTCCGAGCTCACATCAGCAATATGAAAAGAGGCATCCTCAGCGGGAATATCGTCCTCATCAGTGTACATTCGCCGTAAGCGCTCCTTATACCTGTTGAAGGATTGACCAGCATATTGAGAATGTTAATTTATAAAAGGGGGTATCCATCGAAGCTTACAGTTCACTGTCTGGGTTATTTGCCTGATTGCGGCACTTATCTAGTTTTTTTTCGATGGCTTTGACCTTATCCCGATCGGGTTGCTGGTACTGTTTGACCATGATACGGATTTCTGTTGGAACATAACATGTAAACAAAGTTATTGGGATCGCAGTTCGCCACAAAACTTACTTCGTACGGCATCAATAAGACTTGGCAGCTTATCCCGCGCTGACACAAACAGCAAATCAGTCACATAGCTGTCCAGATTCTCCTGCTCTCGGCTGGCCGCATGCAGCACAGCGGCTAGGCCGATCTGTGACGGTGTATGCAACAGGCAGGCATCCGTGTAATAAGTGGAATCGATGAAGCTTTCAATATGTGGACGTAAACGATCCGGGTTCTGCATATTGCTCCGAGTCTAAGGCAAAAGATTAGATGGACATGGTTTATACGATGTTATTTAATTTTCTGACCTTTATGTCTATAAGAAACCCCTCAATGGGTCTGAACGGATTGTGTATGGTAAGGTAGTAGTTCAGTTGGCCAATCAACAGCAGCTCATTAGACAGCACAATGTCTGTGGCTTTGTTCCGGTCGCCCTTGATATTGTTGACAAACTGACTTATGGACACGTTAAACTCCTCCACCTTGCAGGCAACGAACACACAGGTGGCTCTGTGAACCAAATGAGCAGATTAGGCTATTCTCTATATCTTTTTTGTTGAGTATTCTCACAGTATTTCCTTGGGATGATAGTCCATCGGCGTATTGTTCAGATAGAAGCGCTTGAAATAGTGAAATGCGGTGCCCACCACACATTTGGGCATGGGCGGATCGAAGCGTCGGCAAAAATCAAACAAATAGACTTCATATTGCTTCAGCAGCAGGCGCTCCTCCGCCGGCGTGAGAAAAAATTCCTCTAGGTCGCTATCCTGACACTCGGAGTCGTGCTCTCCAATGTACTTGGAATTCTGCTCCACACGAAAGGCCAACAGCTGCGACTCATTGGCAAATGTCCAGGATTTTTTCTGCGAGCTCACAGGATACATGATGCACAACTGATATTGTTGGATATTAATTTCAACAAATTGCAATATTTTGATTTGTTGTCTTCGTGGTCCCGCTCATTGCACACAGTGTGACGGTGACATACGGTCTGACCGTCAGAAATATACCGAAATATACCGTGTCATTTTCAAAATATACAGCAAATATACCAATGACACAAGAACGAACTTAGCCCACTTAACGCCCGCCTTTTTAAATATGTGAACAACTTTAGTTAGATCTATAGTTTGTAGTTAGTAGATCCATCCTATCCTTCCTATGGAGAAAGAGTTAAAAAAACGGTATCTTCATAATTTTCGTGGAGAGTATTATGATGTTCACTGGTCTACAATGGGTTAATCGTTCTCTGTCCTGATCGAAAAATCGGCTATGCCAGCTGGCTAGGAAAATGCAATAGTGAAGAAAAATTTAATCTCATTAAAGCAGTCGAGTGAAAGCTGATTATAGTATATGGATATTATAATTTATTAATTTTCTACCAGTCAGTTTATTAATTTATAAGGAGATCAGAGTCTGACCTAGTACTCTTCCGCAAGCGAAATATATGAAAAATTTTTTCGAAAAAATATATCGTCGATCTGAGTACTAGGCTTCATGGCACAGTACCGCATTTTATAATTTCAGAGTATGAATTTATCGTTTCTCTTCTGTTGCTCCACACACAGACGATAATGTTTTACGTGAAGACATACATACATATGTAATAATAGCTACTTACATATGTATATTTATCTTACCTAACAAATTCAGGTAGATCTGTATGTGATAATGATCAAAGATCATTATCCAGATTCTATGATGGAGAAAAACGTTTTTTTTCCCAGCACCCATTCACCCAGCACCCACAAACGGATGTCACTAAAGAATACAGACTAGAATTCAAGATGCAGATTATCATGGGAAAAAGCATAGAAAGCATATGAAGATACGTTATCTGCAGTAGTACTCGCGCTGGTGCTTTTGTTTGGCGTTCAATATAGGGTGACACCAACATCGATCATACCTTGGGCAATGTCCTCTATAATCAGATGAAGCTTTTCTGTGTAGCCGCTCACAAATAGACGACGACCATTGTCGCTGACACTGTATTAATAAGTGAGGTCGGTACTTTCGGCGAGTTTCAGTTCCTCGTCCAAATAGAGCTTCACCAATGAAACGAACAAGTCGCGCATATCAGCACTGCAAGATAAACAGATGGAATGCGATGATCATCAAGAAAGAGTTGGAGATTGTAAATAAAAATGATAGATAGGAAGGCTTACTTGCAGCGTCGATTGCAAATTTGTCATCCTGTCGCAACCACAGCTCGCTGGTGTCCGTCTTGAGGAACCTCATGGGAAAGGCGGCTGCTTGGGCTTTCCCTGCTCATTCCACAAACCGATTGGCTTCGGGTGGCAAGATTTGAGCCATGCGCTTCGATTTGTATATGATCCACAGCTTCCTCCACTGTGCTGGCATGGGTATAATGGTGCATTTGGTACCGAACTATTCCTCCTGCTTGTCCTATGGGTATACCCTTGTACGGCTTTTGCGAGGTAATCCTTAGATTGAATTTAAAACTTTTGAGGTCTCCCATCAGTTCGGAAAGTTGCTGGTCGTGTTATGGTAGCTCTCTCCTGGAACTTCGAACTTGTTCAGGTCCGGCGCCTTGATGTCATTGCGGAGCAGCTTGGAAAAGTATTACTGTTCTACAGCACCTTGATAGGCAAGGGATACCCTGCCGGCACACGTACATGCGATTGGCCGCATATTTATCGCGACATTATTGCGTCGTTGAGTGCTTCGTACGTCCATGTCATGGTCAGTCCAGGGAGTAGCTGGTTGCGACGCTGCTCATCTTTTTTTGCTGAATCGCGTCCACGTACCATGGGGCTCTGCAGCATCGAGGGATCCTTCAGAGCGAATGTTGAGTAGTCCAGACTTGACTCCAACTGGTCATTGGGCAAAATAAAGAAAAACAGGCGTTGGGGCTTCCAATGCTGACCGGTGGAGCCGAGACGATCAAACGGTTAGCCCATTGCTCTTAACATGAGATCTAAATGCGACAATTGAGTATCGAGTGTTTCGATGGCTTACCTCACTTTTTCACTTACTTTGGTAGTAGGGTTGCATTATAAATATTATAAAATCAGCCGACACTAACTTCACGCAAAGTCAAGATGGCGGAAATGGCGGGCCGCATCTTTCAGTGTTGGGCATCTGTTCTAGCGATGGGACTATCGGGAAAAACACGAAGTGATAGCGAGAAAGCTTGGAGCTTTATAGGCTTTTCACACTGACGACCATCCACCATCCACCATCCATTTCGGGGATGGTCCGTAAGGTTTTGCCGTTCCGAAAATTTCCCAGTTAGTCCACCATCCATTTTGGATGTTCCTAAACCGCACGTTTCTATGCGATAGTTAGCCGATGGTTTTCAAATGCAACTCTGAATAATTGTCATTCACAATGGAAAAATGGTATTCACTGCGAAAACGTAAACAATGATTGTGACAAAATTAACAAAAAACAAAAACAACAACAGAACAGCTCCGAAGGACAGCAGACCAAAAACTTATTAATAAAATGGATTTAGTGCCAGAAAACTCCTCCAGTGGTACGTTGAATAGATATATTTGTTTTTTATTGTTTATAATATATAATATTATTACACAATGCAGCAAACAAGAGAACAACAGCAGGCGGCAGGGTGAAATGGAGTGCCGCGCTTGAGTGCCTGCTGGTTGACATATGGCAGGAGAAAATTGAAGATTTGCGCGGACCACGCAAAAATTCACATGTGTACATGGAGATGGCCGAGTCCATGAAGGAGGCTGGGCTCGGATAAGTGCTCTGCAAAACTCGTGCAGGATATTACACACACTGTTTGGAGCTACACCGAAAAGCCTGCCAACTGTTCGGTACTCAGAGGACGAGCCCAAAGTGTATAGCGCAATGGCGATGCGCTTTTCCAAAGGAATTGCAGCTCGGCAGTTGGTGTCCTTCTTTCGCAGCACTTCAAGCCGATTCACTAAAATATCAAAGCAGTGCCTCTCCATTCGGAAACTCTCTTTGAAAAACGCCTCGTTGTTTTCTGGTACATCTTTCTCCCAAAATGTCCCGAACCGCTTCTAAAACCATAAAATATGTCCTTGTACTTTAAACTAAATAAATAAATAATAAACTTAATAAATCTTCCGCGCAAATTTAATGAACTTGTTATTGGCATCAGCTGTTTTTGATGGATGTTGGATGGTGGATGGTGGATGGTGGCAGTGTGAATCGGAGTTTCACATTTGTCAAAAAATCCCACCATTCCCCCGGGATGGGCTCAGTGTGCAGAGGCTATTAGTTTTATTTGCAACAAACGGCATATTGAATAAAAATCCTTTAAAATTTGTTTCCTTTTTTTTTGTGCTTTAGGTACAATTTTATTTCCCATATATCCGCTATACCGAATAAAGCCAAAGAGTCATTGGATTTATCAAAAGATGGTCTTAACCATTTTCTGACCCCTATACCACTGAACTCCTTTATGTTTATCTTGTCCGGCCTATCTTAGAATATTGTTTTTGCGCCTGGTCTCGTCATTACCAAAAATATCAAGACAATTGTGTAAGCGAACTTGACAGTAGTAGATAATTTATGATATGTGTATTTTTTTTCCATACAGTTATACTGATCATTGTTGAACTCTAAACAATAAACAATATACATACATAACATATGTAACAGCTAAACGAATAAATCAAAACAACTTTATTTCCAAATCAACAAATCAATAAACAAATTGGAAGTTTCCAAAAAATTGAAAAATATATAAAACTAAAACAAATCACATGCGCTGCCAGACTGGTGTAGAATTCCTGTAAAAAGCATGTTTAAAAATCTTTCTTGATTGGAGTAAAAAAAAGGAATTAAAAATATATTAAAATCACTGCCAGTGCTCCGCTCAATTAGTTTTAATATTATTTTCAAATGCATTAAAGTCAAGTTTAATAAAAAAAATTAAATTTATATGAAAAAACTATTCTATATACATGTATATGTACATATACTATTGATATATATATTATAAGACTTTATTTAAAGACTGTGCCAATCAAATTTTAATCACATCTCAAATTTGTTAAACCATCTGATGAAGTAACTAAAATCCTTTTCATATCCGCAATTACCGATTCCAGTTCCAGTTCCTCTTCGGTAAAGAGAGCCCAGAGATATGCATGCTTAGGGAAGGGCTGCCACGATATTGATACGACTCCAAATTTTTCAGATTTTTCAGAATAAATAAGAAGGAAGTCTCAAAAGAATTATACTAGTATTAAAACAAATTTTAATTTATGATGTTTTTATGAGCATGGAAAAAAAACTTATTTATGCAATGTCCTTCCGAAAATATAGAGCAACAAAATTAGATATTGGTTTTAATATAAGATTTATAAATTTGAATTTTATGCCCTACCTTAAGTCAAAATTATTCTTGCTTCTTCCTTCTTGTGGTGCTCTTTACAGCTGTTTGCTGTTTTGGGACGCACGTGTTGTGCATTTTGAGCGTTTAAAGATGCTGGCAGCATCAAAAAGTGGAAAATTAAGCTGAATTAATTTTGTTCTTCTTTGGTTTCATGTCGAGGGACGCTTCCAAATTGGGTCAATCGAATCTTTGGTCAGGAAGTCAGACACGTACGTTGCTTTTAAACAACTGCAGGGGTGATCCAACACGTTCAATAAATACTCTATGGCATACATATGTATGTGACTCCAATGCGAACTATTTATTATTTGGATTGACTTATGTATGTATTTATATTACAATAATAATAATATAATGGTATATTACTATACTTGATCTGTTACCAACTGCGTTCTTATTCATGGTTACCTTTCTTCAAAGAGCATTTAGGTGCCATGCGTATCAGGTACTTTGTATGCAGGAGCTGCCTTCTGTGGCAATAAAATTGCAATTAATTTTTATTGACAACTCTGAACTCTTGTTGCAGAGATTTGTTGTTGATCTTTAAGCGATTTCACTGCGGGTAGATGAAAAGTCTTTAGTACTGGATGC